GTTAGTTTATCGCTTTTTACGGGGCACGGGGTTTCAAATGCCAGACCATACAGCATTCGCGCCACTGACTTCTATTCTGGGCCATATCTCTCAGCGTCTCTAACCAACGACAATCCTCATCCTTTGGGCCCCAATCTGGAAGGCGGGCCGCACCAACCGAAGCCAAAGATGAAGCCAGCTTCTTCATGCCTCTGGCCCATGTCATGGTCTGGCCGCCGCGCCGCTTCTTCCAGCCTTGCCCGGCACGTGCGAACAGAGCACGGAAAGGTAGTCTATGGGCAGGTATACGCAATACGTAACTAAGCCATCGGAGGCGGTGTAGAGCGATTACTTCTGTTAGAGAACGACTATCCGCACCCAACACACGACGACGAGCCTAGTCATTGCTCACCCGGTGATCCCACCAGACACGAGCAATGCTTCAGACACATCGGTGGTCGAATACAGAAAGTCGATTAGCATCCTCAACGCGGAGGGGCCAAGTCTCGCAATCGTAAAGCAGAACGATACGAACCGCGGCGATGTACACCCTGCTCTTAAGGACAATCGGATGTCAAGGCGGCGCCACAGGTGTCGCAGGTTGGCAAAAGCTGCTCTGGCTTTCGCTGTTCGTGATGTGATTTAGTCCCCAACACCACCACCAGCTACACTCGAGCTCCCGAGGTACTTAAAGCTCTTGACTACTTCTAGCTGATCAACACAGGGTGACTGCAGGCACGGGCTTCTGCTAGTCTTGAACTAACACTTTGCACTTGGAAGGTGCAAAGCACTTACCATACCTGGATACCTCTATCGCCAAGCGGTTTGAAGCCTCTTGGACTATCTGTGTGTTGTCACCCAGCAAGGCGATGTCATCGGCATATTCTAAGTCGAGGACTCTGTTCCCCGGGAGGAGTTCGACTCCACCGTTTTCTAGACCGGACAAAGCATTCTGTAGAACATCCTCTATGACAAAGTTGAAAAGGAATGGGGATATAGGGCAGCCTTGCCGAACTCCACTGGAAACGGCGAAGGGCGGCGAAAGTTGGCCATAGGCCCGAACCCGACCTGAGGTATGACAATACAACCCTTTCAGGATTACCACATACTTCTCAGGTACTTCATTTCTCAACAGCCAGTTCCATAGTGCGGTCCTATCGACAGAGTCCAAGGCCGCGCGGATGTCTAAGAATACAATGATCGTCGGTCTTTGATAAGCATGACGGTGCTCAAGCAGCTGTCAGAGGGTGAAGATCTGATCGATGCATCCACGACCGGCACGAACCCCATCCTGCTCCTCGCGGGTCTGTTCCTCACGCACAGTGTACAATGGGTGCAGAATGACGGATGCCAATAGCTTTGGTGCTACTGGGATCAGGCTTATATCCCTATGATTGGCGCAGTCATTGTGCGGGTCCTTCGTGAAGATGGGGACGACAATCGACTCCTCCTACGAGGGGACTTGCTCAGTGTTTCACACTTCAGAGAACAGAACTTGTAGCTATGCAACAAGCTTTATTCCACCATATTTAAATAGAGCAGGGGGAAGGCCATCAGAGCCTGGCGCTTTGTGACTTGCCAAGGCTTGGATCTCCTTATGGTATTCCGCCTCAAAAGGTGGATCTAATGAGACAGACCATGGGACGTATGCCGGAATAGCTGTGTGAGAAGCTGACACTGGAGGCCAGCTGAACTGTGCTTTGAAGTGCTCCGCCCAAGGCGCTGTTGATTGTGAATAGTCGAATCGTCAGCTTCGCAGATCGTTTCGCTCACATCCAAGGCTTTCCTACCGGTGACCCGGATGAGTTGGAACACCTTACGGGAATTACCCATGGCGGCAGCACGTTCCATCTCTGATGCGCGTTGAGACCGCCAAATCTAGCGGTCTCTGCGTAGGCTTGCATTAAGTTCACGTCTCTTTACGAGTCGTGTTTCATCATGCTCCCTACCGGTCGGAATTGATCGATGTGCGTCAAGAAGGCGTAGAGACTCCGCAGAGATCCAGGGTGTCACTGCGTGACGTGACAAACCACAACTAACTACGCAGAATGCAGAATGCACAGCATTCTTGATAAGCGACCAGTGCTGGTTAACATCCTCGGGTAGGGTTGGTTTTAGCTTTACGGTTAGCGCGTTTTGGAAGACAGTTAGACAAGCTGGTTTGAACAGCCTATCACAGTCTAACCG